AATTATGATTATTAAGAATCATGTGATAGGCAGATCTCACCGTGAAGTTACCTTTCGGCGAGTGGTGCCACACCCAAGAATCATTTGTGTGAGGTCCGCCTAATGGAACCCCCAAGATCCTATCCACGTCCACTTCCCAAAATATGTTATGCACAAGTTGTAAATTCCACGAATTAGAGTCTGATTCCAACAAGTCCGAAACTCGGTCTGGGAAAGCTGAGGATATCGGTCTAACGGTAATAATTTTGAAATTTCCGCCATCTCTGAGCCATGGGTCAGCCCATATAGATGTGTTTGCCCCGTTTCCTATCCGGCGTCGTAGCCCAGCTTGGAGATAAGGAATGGTTTTCCAGATACACCTCCACGTCGTTGACGGTCGGTAGCCAGCTCCAGCCATTAGAAGATTTCCGTGAGGGAAGTACCTGGCAGCCATAATCCGTGACATAAGCAGGTCCGGGAAGACTAAAATACGCCACGCTTGTTTCATGATCATTGCCGTGTTAAAAGCTCGTAAATCCCTAAACCCGAGACCACCTTGTTCTTTCGATTTGCATAAATCCTTCCACGAAACCCATGCCATGCCTTTACTGTCTCCCTTACCCCACCAAAAGCGTCGAATGACTCGCTCGATTTCCGAAATAAGTCCGTTGGGGAGAAAGAAACAGCTCATGATATAAGCTGGAATAGCTTGTAGAACTGATTTAATTAGCACTTCCTTGCCGGCTTGTGATAACTGCTTTTCACCCCAACCCTTTACACGAGTCCAGACCCGATCGCGCAGATATGAGAAGATCTTTTTTTTAGTCCGACCAATTAATGCAGGCATCCCCATATATCTATCATGGCCGTCGACTACCCGAAATTGAAGGATTTGTTGAATAGCTTCTCGTCGATCTAAAGGTGTCGCCGGACAAAAACACATTGTTGATTTGTCGATATTTATTTCCTGCCCCGATACTCGTGCATATTTTGTGAGGATCGTTCTGAGAGTTGTAGCACACTCCTCAGTTGCTTTGCCAAATATGAACGTGTCGTCTGCAAAACATAAACTGGAAATCGTAGGAGCACTAGGAGCAACCTGAACCCCATGAAAGTCTCCCCTTTCCGTTGCTCTTGTAATCATTGCAGTCAATGCCTCTGCACAACAAATGAAGAGGTAGGGGGAGAGAGGATCCCCTTGTCGTAATCCTCGGGTTGGGCGAACCGAGCCAAACTGTGAGCCATTAAATAAAAATGAAAATGAGACCGAAGAAACACAAAGCATGATAAGTTCCACAAACTGAGGCGGTAATCCAAAACGAAGCAAAATCTTTTTAAGAAAACCCCATTCGATACGATCATAAGCCTTACTTATGTCCAATTTAAGAGCCATATAATTATTATTTTTATTAGAGTTAAGCTTGATAAAATGATTAATTTCATAGGCTACCAGGATATTGTCGGAGATTAGGCGTTTCGGGACAAAAGCAGATTGGGTACGAGATATTAGATCGTTGAGAATAAGTTTAAAACGATTTGCAATGACTTTGGCTCCAAATTTGTATATAACGTTACACAGGCTAATTGGTCTATAGTCTGTGATTCTTTCCGGACTTTTTACCTTTGGGATTAGGACAATATATGTAGAGTTCAAATCCGAGGGGAGTTTATGATGGTTAAGAAATTCAAGAACACATGAAAGGACATCAGACCCCAGAATATGCCAAAATTTAGTAAAAAAGATAACGGGGAGGCCATCGGGGCCTGGGGATTTGAGAGGAGCCATTTGAGAAATGGCTCGAGTTACCTCCTCCGCGGTGAAAGGCATAGAAAGCAAGTGACCGGCCGCACTAGATATCTTGTTCTCCACGTTCGTCAATACCTCTTCTATCTCATCCTCGTTTGGCTCGGTAGAAGTGAAGAGCTGATTAAAATAATCAGATATAATCTGCTCAATCTCATGATGGGATTCCTTCCATTCCCCGTCCGCTCCTTTAAGTCGTTCCATTCTATTAATTCTGTGACGCGATGTAGCCTTAGCATGGAAGAATTTAGTATTCCGATCCCCTTCTTGGATCCATTGAATCTTGCTGCGCTGCCTCCAATACAGATTATTATCCTCATATGCTCTTTCCAGTTCCAATTTCAAAACCCGAATCTGCTCCTTTGTTATTTCCGATTGTGTGATTCCCCGAAGATAATGGATCCGCCAGTTGAGTTGATTGATCCGTTTCCGCGGAGCCTGGACCGTGGCCTTGTTCCAATGAATAAGAGCGAGACGAAGACCTTTTTTCTTCTGCACAACATCTTCAATTGGGTCCGAGATCCCTTGGTTTTGCCAGTTTTGTTGAACAATCTCCTCACAATCGTCTCGACGTAGCCATATAGCCTCAAACCGAAATGGTCGTTTCTTTCTTCGTTCAGAATCTGCCTGAGCGGGGTCAAGGACGAGTTGAAGCGGGACGTGATCAGACCCTGAGTACGCCATATGATGTACCAAAGCTCTAGGGAACTTTAGTAACCAATCAGCACTAGCACATGCTCATTAAATGACAACCATTTTCATGTTGTGGGTGTCAACCAATACTATAGCTATGCACTCCTAATGGTCAAACTTCACATTTTTTATGGAAAAACAAAATTCCAAGATTTCATATTATTATGAAAAGATTGACCGGAAACAATTTCACAAGGGTGGTATATTGGTAAGTGCACATGTGTATCATGAAAGGACTAGAAATCAATAATATGAAGGGTAAATTACAACCATCCCTGAGGTATGATCAAATTACAAAAACACCTCTTCTGTTTGGGTAATTACAACCACCTCCCTCAACTATAAGACTTCTTACACGTCTACCCTTGCTGCTTCAAATTTAATGGAATCTTCGAGATTATATGGAATATTATCACTTTTGTACCCGTTTTATCCCATTCGAACTCCGAATTTTGAAGCAAGATGATCATAATATGTGTTTTTTGGTTTGTATATATCAGATTGTGGTGCATCAGAAACTGTCTTCTTTACACAAAACGAGAGCAAACTAGAGGACATTCCACGAAATCTAGATGATTATGTTGAATTTCACACCATAAGGGTGGATGTGTAAGAAAAAAAACATAGTTGAGGGAAGCAGATGTAATTATCCAAACAAGAGGAATTTTTTCGTAAATTGACCATACCTTAGAGGTGGTTATAATTTACCCATAATATGAAACATATTTTTAATATTCTAATTTTTAAGTTAATTAAAAAAAATATGTATCCTATACAATTACAATCCTTCACCTGTAAAATAATTACGTGCACTCAAAACTAGTACTTCCTCCGTTTCTAGTTAAGGTGGTATTTGCAAAAAACTTTTATGTCAACATAAATTAGTGATTTGATTAGTTAGATTTACGGTACATATCTATGTTAATAAGTTGAGAGTGTTTGTAAATACTCTGAAAAATAAAATCGAAATAACGAGTAGAGTAAAAATGTTATGTCGTTTAAATTAACTTGCACTTTTAGGGTCCATTTGGATGGAGAGATTTGAGGAGGGATTTGATTTGGGGAATGGATTTGAAATGACTCCAATTTTGGAGTCATTTGAAATCCACCACTATTGCTCCAAAATCAACTAAAAAGGAGGGGTGGGGATTTGAAATCCATCTCCAAATCCCTCAATCCAAACAAGTCCGAGAGATTTGTTATTATGGATTTGAAATCCCTCCCCCAAATCCCTCCATCCAAATGCACCCTTAGAGTGCGTTTGGATGGAAGGATTTGTGGAGGGATTTGATTTGGAGAAGGGATTTGAAATGACTCCAATTTTGGAGTCATTTGAAATCCACCTCAATTGCTCAAAACATAACTAAAAAGGAGGGGTGTGGATTTGAAATCCATCCCCAAATCCCTCAATCCAAACAAGTCCAAGGGATTTGTTATTATGGATTTGAAATCCCTTCCCCAAATCCTTCCATCCAAATGCACCCTTAGTTTATTTAGGTGAAATATCTAAATCGTCCCACTCATTGGAATTTGGGAAAAAAGGAAATATGTGAAATGCATGTTTTATTTAATAACAAAAGCATTTTTAAATTTGAGAAGCGGTTCCAATGGTGCTTCTGAGATTATGTTTAAAGCTGCTTATATTTGGAGAAGCAAAAAAAAAAAAAAAAAAAACTAGTGTTGCAAACAATAAAAAAAAGTCGATTACGAGGAAACGAAAATTTATAATCGCAAAAATTTCAGTGAACACCTAAAATGTCAATGAAAGGTTTCAATACAAATATTAAGAAAAATGGCAAATTACGGCCACCCCTGAGTTATGGTTAAATTATGAAAATTCCCTCATGTTTGGGTAATTACAGCCACACGCTCAGCTATGTATTATCTTATGAAAATACCCCTCCAGAGGTAAATTCAGGGATGTTAAATCGGTAAAATCAAACCGAAATTTCGGTACGCCAACATTTTATACCGTTTAGCGAACCGAATATACAATTTGGTTCGGTAAATAACCGAATTACATAATTTTTATATAAAAATATTTAAAGGAGAGGTGGCTGTAATTACCGAATCAAAGGGGGTTTTTTGTAATTTAGCCATACATCTGAGGTGACCGTAATTTGTACTAAGAAAAACAATTAAATATATGTGAATTAATGTATCACAAAGGATTGTTTGCTAATATTACTAACATAAAGACTTCTTTTGCAAATATTTCAATAGAATACAACTGTACTAAATACAATAAACTCTTGACTTTCAAAGGATTATATGAAATTTCTATTGCACCAAAAATGATGGCAAGGGCAAATGTGTCAATCTCTCTCTAAAAAGTTGACTATTTCTCTCTCATCATATTCTTGGGGGTTTTTTTTTTTCGCACTTTCTTCATAAAATCCTTTTTTATATCACCTCTGCTATAAATGCAGTCTTCTGTTCTGTGAACCTTATTTTCTATATTACCCTCTTTTTACTATTTACTCTCTCTCTCTCTCTTTCCTCCATTGTAAACCAAGCTTTCTTTTCCAGCTTTATGTGACGCGCCTCTCTCTCTAGACTCTCTCTCTAAACTCTCTCTCTCTATCCACGTTCACACAACCCCACCTACCATTTCAATTTTCACCCAACTCTGCTTTTATTAGGCATCTCCCAACTCTTCTTAATTCCTTCCCACCATTAAAATAGAACTCTGCCCACTTCTAAAGATTACATTTTTGTCTGGCATTGTTTCTCAAATTCAATTTAAAATAAAAAGAATTTTGCTGCATTATTGTTTTCTTTAATTCCCTTTTGGCCCACTCCCTCTACTTGTAAACTAATCCTCTTCACCTTTTATTTTTTTAATTCATTTTATTTTCTGGGTTTTTCATATCGCATTGAGTTCTTCTGCGCTCAAACTTCAGATCAGTTTCTCAGGTGAATTTGCTCTCTCTCTCTCTCTCTCTCTCTCTCTCTCTCTCTCTCTCTCTCTCTAGAAGATTTAGATTTCTGATTTGGTTTTGTAATTATGTTCAATTAATTTGTTAAAATTCTACGACTTGTTGTCATGATTCAGACATGTACACGGTTTCTCTCAGAGAAAAAAAATAAAAAAAAAAGACTTAGTTTTGATTGGTTGAACGGATAATACGCGTGTCCTAATTTTTGCTTTTGTTGTCTTAACACAGCAAACCATTGACTCCCTTTTTCTTTTCTTTTTACATGATTTCTTGTTTCATTTTTGGGTTTATTTTTTATTGAGCATATTCAAATAGCAAGAATTCATAGATAGTGATTGAATTTAGTGCTTTACTATATAATGTGATTTGTTGTTTTGGTTTTTTGCCTGATCCAGAATTCAATGTGTTGATTTCTTGTCCGATTTTCGGAAAAAAAAAGATGTCGTCGGGTAGTCTAAACACGGAGCTATCGAAAAAATACGGCGGTATTAAACTATGGGTTCTAATCGGAATATCCGTGGGTGCATTGTTTGTTCTAATTCTCGGAATACTATCGATATGGGTCATGTTTCGGAGAAAAAAATCCCGTACGTCTTCGTCGAACAAGTACAACCTCTGCCAAATCCCGAACATTTCTAAAGAAATAAGGGTCGACAAAATCGGCGGCGATCAGAACACGCGCGAGCACCCCGAGAGTGTGTTCTTGAATATCAACGACAAATCGAGCGACAAGAACTCGGAGAAGATGACGGTGCATTTGGGGCGGAGTAAATCGAGCGACGTCGATGATGTCAGCCAATGCAGCTCGTTGCATCATCACCATTCGGGCGAGGAAGGTAGCTCGGGCGGTAATGCGAGAAAACAGTCTATTTCAAATTACGGGATTGCGATGCCTTCTCCTCTAGTTGGGTTGCCGGAAATATCTCAGCTTGGGTGGGGCCATTGGTTCACTCTTAGAGATCTTGAAGTAGCGACAAATCGTTTTTCGTCGGAGAATGTTCTCGGTGAAGGTGGTTACGGAGTTGTTTATCGAGGCAAACTTGTTAACGGCACTGAGGTGGCGGTTAAGAAACTTCTTAACAATCTGTGAGTATCTGTAGTTTTGTGTCTTGGAGTTCCGCTAAGGCCTCGTTTGGTTTGCTAAGATTAACCATGGTTGGATTTTATTGAATATTTGGTTAATCCAATTGTGGGAAAAAAAGGCTCTTGGCTAATTGGGAGATTATTTATCGGTTAATCTTATCTTGGATAATCTTATTTTAGGAACCAAACGAGCCCTAAGTTTATTTTGACGTCGTCTTGGATAATATTTATGGTTTAATTGAAAATAATTACGCGTTGCAGTGGGCAAGCGGAGAAAGAATTTAGGGTTGAAGTGGAGGCGATTGGACATGTTCGTCATAAGAATCTTGTTCGGCTTCTTGGCTATTGCATCGAAGGAGTTCACCGGTTAGCTTCTTTGTTTATCTTCTTGATTTTATTTATGTATTTATTTTATTTTAATTTAATTAATTTGTTGAGATTTTACGGTTTATGCATGTAGGATGTTGGTATATGAGTATGTAAACAACGGAAACTTGGAACAATGGCTACATGGAGCTATGAGACAACACGGGACCCTTACGTGGGAAGCCCGTATTAAGGTTCTTCTTGGCACCGCAAGGGCGTAAGGAATTTCACTTCTCGACTTTTTTTTTTTTTTTTTTTGTGCGGACTTAAGTACGTTTAGAGGATTTGAACCTTGAATTAAGTTGCATTGAATGATGGTTTTTGTTGCAGACTTGCTTATTTGCACGAAGCTATAGAACCGAAAGTCGTCCACCGCGACATAAAATCGAGCAATATTTTGATCGACAGCGATTTCAATGCGAAAGTTTCCGATTTCGGTTTGGCTAAGCTCTTGGATTCTGGCGAGAGCCATATAACAACGAGAGTGATGGGAACATTTGGGTATTTCCGATTTCTTTTTTTTTTTTTTTTGTTGCACTTTATAATTTAGTTTATATATATATATATATATATATATATATATATATATATATATATATATATATATATATATATATATATATATATATATTCGAGTTTTTTCCGTAACTAGGTTTATTTGTGTGGTTTTTCAGTTATGTTGCTCCCGAATATGCAAATAGTGGCTTGTTGAACGAAAAGAGCGATATCTATAGCTTCGGTGTTTTGCTCCTCGAATCTATTAGTGGAAGAGATCCCGTTGACTACGCCCGTCCAGCAAACGAGGTACTATATATATTAAAATATTATAATTTATTTATAAATATTGTTAAAAACTATTAGTGACGGTGTGTGTGTGTGTGTGTGGCAGGTTAATCTTGTTGAGTGGTTGAAAATGATGGTAGGGAGTAGAAGAGCGGAGGAAGTTGTGGACCCCAGTCTTGAAGTGGGGCCCACAACACGTGCGTTGAAGCGCGCGCTTCTAGTTGCGCTTAGGTGCGTTGATCCCGATTCGCAGAAACGCCCCAAAATGAGCCAGGTCGTTAGAATGCTCGAAAGCGACGAGGTTCCTTATCGCGAGGTAAGATTTCCATATCATTTTTTTTCTCGTTTTTTTTTCTTCTCATTTTTGGCCTTGAATGCTCGAAAATCTCTTTTTAGTGCTCTAATTTATGTTATTTAGCATCTACTGAAGGATTTTACTTGGCATAAATATTAAGTATGCACCCCTCGTTTTATTTCGAAAATTAGGCTTAGGTAATTCGATGGTTCATCTTTGTTAAGAAATGTTCAAACGTGTTTTGTTATGTAATTTATATTATAGGTTACTGCAAAATTTGGAAATTACGAATCCCGCCGATTCCGGTTCCAACAATTTCCAATTTTGGAACATGTTTTCTCATTCCAATTTCCGCTTTTTCAGTTTTTCTTTTTTTGAACGGAATTGGAATTAGTTTTTGACTTTTTTTGGATGTTTTCTCCAAAAGTGCTAATTCCGATACGATACGATCCGATCCACGATCTGTTCGATTTCCACCCCTACTCTTAATCGGAAACTAGTTTTTATGAGCCTTGTTTCGAATTGAATCGGTTCTAATCCGAACCCTGTTACGGAAAGTCAACTATGTTGTGGATATAACGACTTTCTTGTCACTTTCGTTTACGGGATTTGGCTAATTAAATACAGTCAGTCAACTAGCATCAATCTGTGTCTTTGTCCTTAATACTTTTAGACGTACACATTAAATAGATTCGTCGTTCAATAGCTTAAAACAAAATCACGTCGTACAATCATTGCTTTTCCCTCGAATTAGTTCTCGACGGCGAATCTAATTAATGTGCAACGTCGTGATTCCACAGCGACAAAAAAAGACAATCTCTATTTAAATCTATTGAATTAGTTTTCGACAACGAATCTATTTAATTTAGCTTCTTTTTTTTTGTCCCCTCGAATAATTATTATTATTTATTTTTATTCCGGTCGTTAATTTAGCTTCTTTCCGCTAAATAAGCAACCAACATTCGTTTTTTTTTTTCAAAAATCGTCGTTTATTTTTTTTTCCGGTGCAGGATCGTCGGAGTAGGAAGAGCAGAGGTACAAGCATGGATATGGAGTCAACAAAGGAGAGCAGTGGTTCAGCTGAGATAGAAAGCAGACAAATATTTGATGAGACAAACAATGTGTAGTAAAACAAAAGAAATACACAAAAAAATGATTTTAGAGCTATTATATATTATTATTATTATTATTATTATTAATTATTAAGAAAATTAATTTGTGACTGAAAAAGATTCCTGCATCTGCATGCAAGTATGACAGTCGTGTGATTGAAACAAGGCATGGAATTCTTCAATTATTGAGAGAGAGAGAGAGAGAGAGAGAGAGAGAGAGAGAGAGAGAGAGAGAGAGAGAGAGAGATGTTGCTGTACAGTTTTTTCTTTTCTTTTTTTTTTTTTTTTGGATAAATGGGCCATTTTTTGTATTCACATTATTTTTTTTGTTTTTTTTATTTGTTCCTTGGGACATTCGATTTTCTGAAGTTAAATTATCATATTATCAACATTGGATTTTTCCCTTTATTATTAGGGTAAATAGCACTTTAACCCCTAGTGGTTTGAGTTTTGCGCAGATGGCCGCCTTGTAATTTCAATATAGTTTGAACTTTCTGCACATCATTCCCTTATACTTTTAATATAAACACATAACCTCCCTATGGTATGGTAAATAATCATGCTCGTTAGGAAGGGGAAATTTTTTAAAGTACAAGAAGGTGGGGATATGCTTATATTAAAATACAGGGGGTCATGTGCTGTATTGAAAGTATAAGGGAGTTATGTGCACAAAGTTTAAACCACATGGATTTTTAGTGCTATTTATTTACCTATGTAGCACGGACACATGAACAGTGATACGTGAAAACGTGAAAACGGACACGGAGAAATAACATAACCCAAAAATGGGGATAAGGGAGCTTGGGGGAAAGGTGTAAGTACTAAAAATATAGGGGTATATTTATAAATATGTTATGTAGACATATATAAGTTTTTATTTAGATATAAATTCTTTTTATATATTTTCATACAAACATATTCAAAATAATTTTACACCAACTATCAATTTGTAATTGATCGTTAAATCGTGTAATTAATTGGGAAACAACAAAAATATTTGAAAATTTGCTATTCAAACATGTTTCTAACTCTTTAGAAATTGCAAATAACCCATAAGTTGTCCGACAGGTGTTCTCAAGTGTCCGGCACAAAACGCGTCTGAAACGCGCAAACGTTAAGAATATGAAGTTTCCGGTTTAACATTGATTAAAACTCAAAGTTAGTAGAATATTCAGGTGGAATAAATTTATTATGTTTACTTTTTGAAAACAACTCTTGGTAGATGAAAAATTAATAAATCACTTTCAAATATTTAAATCTTAAAAATAATAATTAAAAAAAGTCACAACTGAAAATATGTAAATTCAATCAAGAAGACACCAACTCAACTGAACCGAATATGTATATAATTCCTATGGAAATGTATACTACATTTGCAACCTGTCAAATTTTCATAGGTTTGATTAATTTTGGTCAAATATGATAGTAAATAAATATACTTATACGAATGAAAAACTAAGAATTATAAAAAAAAAAAATGAAAAACTAATAACTTTTTACTTATGTAAAGGCGAAGCCTAATTGTAATTTGTAGGGTATTATAATATCCCACATCGAAAGAATATGAAAAATAAGAAAAGAGAAAACTAGTTTATAAACAAGTCTTGGATCAATAATGAAAGTATCTTTGCGCTTGGGGCAATGACGCAGCTAATGAGGTACTAACCGAGGCGCGTCTATTGCTGGTTGAAAACTATTTCCAAACCCCCTCTTGGGCTTTGGTTTTGCACCTAAGCCCTCGAGAATTTCTGGAAGGGCTCCCTTTTATTAGGGTTAAGCCCTACAATTAAGTTTAAGTTATTTTGTTAATTTCCAAATAATTTGTTGATGAAACAATTTTTCTTAGTTATAATAGTTCTGAAGATTTGATTCATCACTATTTTATTTAGTTCTTGAAAGTAAAATATTGCATGACCAAATTACCAAAAATAAGAATCATCTAACAGTACTTTCAATCAAATTTTCTTCTACCGCTGTAAAAATATAAACAAATGTTTAATTTATTTAAGAAAAAGTGGAATTTACGGGAATAATTTCAGAAATTTAATTGGACAGAAAATCGAAAATTCTAAATATTGTTTTTATAATTCCACAATCCTAAAAATATCGCAAAGATCGGAAATCGAAACTTCTAAAGTCAAATTGAAAGAAAAGTTCCAAAATTGTAACTTTTTTATCAGAACAGACGGAAATTTGAAATTCCGTCAACTTTCACCTTATTTATGTCAACTTAAGCTTTTTTTTTTTTCTTTTCTTTCTAAAATGTGTTAATTTCTAAGATCAAGGCTTTAAACATTCTTATGGGAGAAATTGAAGAAGTTGGCTCCACGTCTACAACTATATTAGAAAACTGAATTGCTTTTGCTTTTGTTAAAGAAGGGAGCAAAACAATTTTAAAAACTACACTACTTTTGTTGAAGTGAACAATTTTTTTTAGGAAAGTATAATTTGATGGATAGTTGTTAAAGGGAAACCAAATTAAAAATATCAATTGCTTTGATGGATATTTGTTTAAATGCAACAAGTTAAAAGAAAAATAAAAAAAATTGGGTTATAGATCCACCGAAGTGGGTAGCCTTAACCGGATGTGTTGGTAAAAGGTAAAGCCCGAAAGCTGTTCCCGTCCCTGTCGGGGGAGATGCCAACCGTCTCTCCTTTCTACGAACACAATTTTCATTGACTTGTGTTGGCTATAAAAACAATTTCTTCTGATATTAAGTTACCGATGTGGGACAATGTCAATTTGAATTTTTTTCTAGAAGACATAGCCTATAAATTATAAGGGCTAATTACACAAATCTCCTGAAGTAGTGTCTAATTATGAAAATCGCCCTCATGTTTTTTGAGTACTTGTGAAAATCTTCACTAGCTAGGTATGCTGCCGTCTTACGGACTCCCTCTACGGTGTTACTTTTAACATAATCTTTTTTATTCGATAGAATATTGTTCTCAAAATGTTATTTTTGCCTTTTAACACGTGAGTTATGTGACACATGTAAGCATATTAATTACTTAGGGGGTAAATTATAATATATTTAAAAATATAGTTATTTAGCATATTATATAGCCAAAAATTATTTAAAAAATAATTAAATATATCTTGTAACGTTAAAAGTTTTCATTTGTTTTGTATTGTTTTTTTGTTTACATTTGTATAACTTTTACTCAATGATATCGATTTTACATATTTTATAATTTTTATTCTATAAATCGATTTTATGTTACAAATAGTTTATTATTAAATATTTTTTTCAATACCTCGAACAAGCTTCTCGCATAATTCTCCGGCAACATGCTTCAGGAGCTTTCCATAATATTGCATATATGGGGAGATTTTTGTAATTAGACATTACCTCAGAGGGGTTCTCATAATTTATCCTTTGTTTTTTTCCTTAAATAACAGAAGAGTAAAACGGACAAAATACATTTTTTATGAGTTTATTAAACATCAAACACTGATCATATGGGGATTTTTGCAATCATACAGACATGAGTAGAATTTTTATAATTTCCTAAGGGCCCGTATTAGGGGTGGTCTTCTTGCGGTTGAAGGGGAGGCGTTGGCGGCGCTTCGAGCACTTGCATTGCAAAGAAAAAGGGGTGGCATGACATCGTGCTTGAAGGTGATTTGACGTCTCCAAGTCATAACGGCTCTTCGTGAGGGTAACTGTGAGTCGACAACTTTTGGCTGCATCACCGAGGAATGTCGACAGCTGCGTAATTTTTTCACTCGATTTCCTTAATTTTATAAAATGCTCGGGCCATAATTTGACCCATGAGTTACCGAATGTCTCTTTTTTAGCTTGTAATAATCTGATGGAAGGTGTTAACCTCCCCTCGAACTTAGGCCGAGTTTGCCTAATGATATTTCTTTTTCCATAAAAAGAAAATAATAAAAAAATAAAAATAAAAATACCACATCCTTATAAAGCGTGCAATTTTCAATGTCACCAAGACACCAATAGAGATACAGCTGTCACAATCCGTTTCAATATTTGAGTTTTTGTACTAAGAAATTAGGAATTCCTATGCTTAGGCAATACTTAATAGAATCTGAGTGATTCTACATTATTTGTTGGCATTGATTTATGGGGTCATTACAAATAAGTCATGGGTACTTATTCATAAAGAGACTCAGACAAAACAATTCTTTATAAATAAGTCCACACATGGTCTAGATTTTTGTAAAAGACTAAAATAACCATTCATACATCAATATGCTCCAATTTTATCATTAATTTAATTTAACCTTAATTTGACCCCAAATTTCACAAATTATTCAACTTTGACCCAAAACTTTTTTTTTTCAAAAAAAAAAAAATTTCAAATATTTTTTTTGCCGTCGGATTCCGGCGATGACTTTTCGGTTTTTTTTTTTTTCTCTTCCGGATTTTTTCGCCAGTTTCCGGTGTTGATTTTTTTTTTCTTTCTTTCTGTAACATTTTTTTTCGTTTGAACAGCAATATTGCTGTGACTGACAGTAATATTAACTATATTACTGTTAAACACAATAAAATTAACTAAACTACAGTTTAACACAACAATATTGCTATATTGATCTCTAGCACAGTAATATTAACACAACAAAACTCATTATTATTGTGTGATAGAGTAATATTACTATGTTGACCGTTCAACAAATGTAAATATAATAAAAAGCCCAAAGAATTAATATTACTGTGAGTGACAGTAATATTACTATAACAACAGTAATATTAATTTCAACCACAATAATATTAAAATAATACATAATAATATTATTACGTTACTCCGTGAATAACTCAAACAAACAACAAAATTCAAACAAAATAATAATATTGATGTTTTATTATTGATGTGGTTGACAACAATATTACTATAACAATAGTAATATTACCGTCAACCACAATAATATTATTGTGTTTACAGTAATATTATTACGTTACTCCGTGAATAACTCAAACAAAACAAAAAACCAAATAATAATATTGATGTTGTTGACAGTAATATTATTATATTGTGTTTACCGTTATTTTACTGTCAACGACAGTAATATAATTACGTTGACTTGTCAACAAATCGAACAAAATAAAAAAAATAACAAAAAATAAAAATATTAATATTACGTTAATTTACTGTCAACGGCAGAACAATTACATAAATGTATTGTCAACGGCAGTACAATTAAGTTAACTAACTGTCATTGACAGTATAATTACGTTAATTTACTGTCAGCAGGGGC